TTTTTTGGCGGTACCGGGGATTGAACTCATGACCTTGCACTTGCCAAGCAGGCGCTTATGCCACTGCGCTATATCCCCAGCCCTTCCCAGTTAAATATTAACAATGCAGTATCATCCATGCTCATTTACACAAGCTTTAGGTTTCTTTAGTAGGAAACTTAGTTTAATTCACAAACCCTTTTGTGAGTCAATATAACCTACATACATGAATAAGAATCTTTATTTTATCTTTGAGATTTCATGAAGCCTCCCATCATGTTGTAAGCTCTGTGAAATCATAGACTGAGCTGTGTTCCCATAGTGTTGTATCCTTAGTACTTATAGCATGTGGCATATAGTAGATGCTCAATAAATATTGTATGTTATTGAATCATTTTTTATTTGCCTGGTGTGTTAACATAGTTAAAAATGAAACTTCATTATACTAGAAATTACTAGTAAACACCATTCTTACAGTATTTCTTTTTACAGGTATGAAGGCTTGGACAATGTATTACAGTGTGCCGATTATATCAAGGAGAATGGAAAAAATATTGGATGCAGGTTTCCAAACTTGGAGTCATCAGACTATAAAGATTTTTTTATCTGTGTCAATGGCTCATCAGAATCCAATCCTATTAGATCCAGCTATTTCATTTTTGAGCTTCAAAATATAGGTGATATAAACAAGCAACTCCAACTTCCATTTCATAGTTGGGGGGCTTAAGGAAGTACAAAGCTACAAAAATAAAAAGCAGAGTATACAAGGAAGTATGAAAGACAAAACATCATTTTTATTTAGAAATCACAATTTATTTCCCAAGCCTCAGAGAGTTCTTCTGCTGTATAGTACTGTTGTCTAGGGTTAGTGATGGAATAATTATGGACTCCCATATTCTCAGGCCTCAGTAGGCAAATGGTTGGATATTCTCAGGTCTATGCTCCCAGTTCTAACAGTTACAGTTAGAACAGTTTCTAGACTCAGCCAGTTGTAGGTTGGAATCTCGGAACTACCTGTTGTGTGATTTTGGGCAAGTTGCTTACCATCTCTTCTCAGTTTCCTTATTCATTTTTTTGTTTTTTTTTTTTTTGTTTTTTTTTTCCGGTACCTGGAATCAAACTCAGGACCTTGCACTTGCCAGGCAGGCGCTGTGCCACTGAGCTAAATCCCCCGCCCCCAAAAGTGTCTTTGTTTTGTTTTTTTTGTGTGTGTGGTACCGGGGATCGAACTCACGACCTTGCGCTTGCCAGGCAGGCGCTTATGCCACTGAGCTACATCCCCAGCCTCAGTTTCCTTATTCGTAAAATGAAGTGAATAGAGGACCATCTCATAGGTTTACTGTAAAACTGTACAAGATCATGATGGGAGATCCTTGGGGTAGTGCCTGATGCATCAGAAGCCCAGCAAAAGGGTGAGCTGTCAGTGAGAGCAGTGGTACTGATAGTAGTTGTTTCTAAAGCTACAAAATTGGAAAATGATTGCATTGATTTGGATCTTCTAACTTTGCTCTTCGGCTTCAATATTTCTCATTGTTTGACATCACAAAATAAATTTCCAAAATAATCAAGTTTCTCAATAAATTCACTTTGGTTGTTAAGCAACTTTGATTTTAATACACATCATGGGGAATAGTCTGGAGTCACCTGGTTTATCCCTGGAGGTTTTAGGTGTCCCCAGCTTTAGAAAAGGACTACTGATAATTTCAAGAACTTCTATATTAAAATTATTTCTCTCTGCTTCTTAGTTAAACCTCTGCCTCCAGATTATCTTAGTCTTACTGTGAAGAATTCATTTGAAATTAACCTGAAATGGAGCACACCTAAAGGACCCATTCCAGCAAGATGTTTTATTTATGAAATTTTGTTCACAGAAGCTGATAATTCTTGGATGGTATGAATATTGCATTTATTTGGGAAAATCGTAAGCATAGCCTTTTAAATAGGAAGCTTGTGAGTCAAGATCAGTTGCTATCTACACGAGGAGCAGAACATTCATGTATCTTAATAGCTTAAGTTCCAGAAAACCAAATCTAGTGGACAAAAATAAGGTGTCTCTGGTCTGAAAGTACAATCACACCAACCTCAAAGCTACATAAGACCCTAGAGATAATCAAATCACTTGTTCACAATTTTGTGTCAGAAAAACAAATGTGCTAAGAGACAAAAATGGATTGTGAAGAGGCCTCAGTTGCTGGGCATGGTGGCATACACCAGCACTCAGGGAGGCTGAGGCAGGAGGATCACAAAATTGAGCCCAACTTGGACAGTTTAGTGGCTTAGTGAGATTCTGTCTCAAAATAAAAACAAAACCATAAAGGGCATTGGGAGACAGTTCAGTGTGGGGGCTCTGGGTTCAGTTCCAGAAGAAGAAAGCGTGAACAAAAAAACCACTTCTCAAGGAACAACCCTGAGGTCAAAATTAGAAATGGCACTTACCAAAGAATTACTCCTAATCAGGGAAATGGGTTTATAATGGGGAGAAGGCAGTGGTTGTAAAACTGATTACTCCAAATCAACAGGGTGGTGATGCCCTTAACCTCACATTTTATGCTAATTTTAGCTATTGATTTCCAAGTTAGAGAGTGGAAGAGACAATAGTTCTCATTAATTGAGCTACTGGTTCTCACTAATTCATTTCATAGCAAATGAGAGAACTGACTTTTGAATTGACTTAGAGATTGCAGGGACATGAATTAACCTCATAATTGAATTACATGTCTAGAACTAGAATTAAGATCTGACACGACATTATGTTGGTTCCAAACATAAGTTATAACAAACACAAAGCTGTTATTTTGGATGAGAAAAACTCTTTAGCTCTTTGAAATGAGAAAACTGAAGCAATTGCTTCAGTGAATTTTTGTTGTTGTTTTGTGAAATGGCCCAGATTTGTGACATTCTTATACCCGAAGTGGTAATTTCATGCCAGTCCATGAGTACTATTTCAGAAGTTTTACAGAAAAGACCCAAAATAAGAATAGTGGGAAAATAACTTTATGTACATGGATTCTACAGTGTCCATAGGAATAACATCCACACAATGCTTCTGCCTTTGGTATCTCAGTGAATGGAGCATCTTCCAGTTTGTGGAATATGGAAAATTTGACTAGTTCAAATATTAGGCATTGTAATCATGAAGGTTGCCTAGAAGTTTTGCCTGGTCATATGCACTGCTCTTTATTACAAGTGACCCATTATCACTATAGAGAAAAGTTTTTTAAATATGAAGAAGAAAAAAATGACAAAAACTCCTTCAGTAACTCAAACACTCACCATATAGAGAGATAATCACTGCTAGTCTTTCAGTACATATATTTTATGTGAAAAGAAACTACTTTGAAAATGACAAATGGAATTTCTCTAGTTGCAATTAGATCAAATAATGTCATGTTATTTTCTGCTTGACTTTCAGACTCACACAGTTGAAAATGAAATGCACATCACAAGAACGTTAAATGAAAGCCAAGAATTATGCTTTTTAGTACGAAGCAAAGTGAACATTTATTGCTCAGATGATGGGATTTGGAGTGAGTGGAGCGATGAACGATGCTGGGAAGGTACGAGCTAAGAGGACAGTAACTAAGTGACCGGAACTATGCGCTAGCAAAATTAATTCTGTCTCTGTCTATCTTTGTACTTATGGAGATCAAAGACTCTTGCATATCGCCTATGCATAAAGAAGAAAAGTTCGCAAACACTTCAATCAAACACAGATTTATTGAAAGTCCAATGTTCGTTTAGAAATAAGAATCTTGTTATGCTTTTGTTAGGAAAATTCTTGTTTTCCTGTCAGTAAAGAGAACACACTAGTGCTTTGCTGGGTGAGTGGAGAAAGAGGAGCATAGTTTAATAAATATTTTCTTAATTTTTCAGTTCTCAAGAAAACAGAAAGATAAGCTTGTCATACATTTATTTCCAAATGTCTAGTATTATGCTGAATGAGCATTATTCTAATTTAGAACATTATCCATGACGGGCTGTGGCTGTCACTCGGGTGTAGAGTACTTGCTTTTCATGAGTGAGCCTCTGGGTTTGATCCCGGGCACCACAAAATCAAAAAAGATGTTACGATCGGTAAAACACATATCCTATTCACTTCCTAGTCACTAATTTAAAGAACTTATGATAAAATATATCCAAATTACATAGGCCTAGATAGTGAGGCAAAAGAGGATCATGCTTCAGAATATATTAGCTTATTGGTAGAAATTACTAAAAATGATTCAGAATAGAAGAAAGTCAATTCATCATTCTTTCAGGTACATTGATATGGATGCAGTTATTAATATTTATTCAGATGTAGCTATACATGTCTATGAACCATTCATCTTCTTTCATGTGGTTCTACTACAGTGGAATCTCTATTATCTTCCCATGAATATACTGGCATTGGTCATTTTCATTCATCAAATATTATGAAGCATCTGTTGTATGTCAGATTCCTTTTTAAGTGTTAGACATACAGAATAAGGAAATCTTTACCCACACGGAGCTTATATTTTATTCCCAAGTTGAGTAAAGATAGGCAATCAGTGAAAGCCAAATGTATAATCACTAAGAGTTATCGAGAAAAAATAAGCAGGGCAGGAGCTAACTCAATCAAGTGATGTGTGTGGGATCAGAAAGAACATTGCTGCTTGTACATTTTTCATTTTTGTAACCACTACCAGAAATGGAGAGATTCTTATGCAAAGTTATATTCTGAATCATATATTGTGCAATGTATGAAGACAATATGGTGAGTTTTTAGCATCCTTAAAAATATGTGTCTTGGGGCTAGGGATTTAGCTCAGTGGCACAGCACCTGCCTGGCAAGCGCAAGGTCGTGAGTTCGATTCCCGGTACTGGAAAAAACAAAACAAACAAACAGACAAAAAAATAGATGTCTTTTTTATTTTAAAGAGGAAAAAGAAATAAAAACAATGACACAAAATTTCAAAATAATGCAATAGGAGAGTAATAATGGTTAATACATTGCGTATTGTTACCTTCAAAGTAGTAGACACTGTTTTATGTGTTTTATACATAATCTTCTCAGTGGTATTAATGACTGAGTTTTATCTTGCCCTGATGCAGAAATTCTTGGTAGAATCTTTTTTGTTTTATTTTTTGGTTTTGGTTTTCTTCCGGTACCTGGAATTGAACTCACGACCTTGCGCTTGCCAGGCAGGCACTGTGCTGCTGAGCTAAATCCCCAGCCCCTGGTAGAATCTTAATGATGCTGAAAAATTAAAAACAAAGAATTTCTTGAGTTGTATATGATCTTAATTTTTTAGAGCATTTCTTGTTCAGTGCTTCAAATTATAGAAAAATAAAGTTTTGTTTTGTTTTGTTTTGTGTAATGGGGATTGAATGAAGGGCTAATTTGCCAAATTACTCAGGCTGAACTCGAACTAGTGATTTTCCTATCTCAGCCTCCCAGAGTGCTGGGATTACAGGCACACTCCAAAGCACCTGATTAAGAAAATACTATTTTTAGAAATAAAAATACATCCTTGTGAGGGAAAGTGAGTAAAATCTCAACAAAAGGAGCTTCCTACCATCTCACTGTTAATTTTGTATGTCAGGAAATTTATGTAGTCAGTCATTTCTCTGGATTATATCCTTGCGAATCCTAAAGTAAGCATATAAATTTGGTAATGTTCTAGTAGAAAACAAGATTGTAGCAGAACAGGACAAAAAAAAAAAGTGGCAGGGCTGGGGATATAGTTCAGTGGTACAAGGGCCTGCCTGGCAAGCGCAAGGTTCTGAGTTTGATGCCCGGTACCAAAAAAAAAAGTGGCATCATGGAAAGTTAGTAGGTCAGGGCCTAAGATTCAACACTCTTTAAGTTATTCCAAAACAAGTGGAAGATACTAATTTGGCATGGACATATTTTTAAGTTTGTCCAGTAATTGCTCATTCTTTCCAGTGCAGAAGAATTTTTAAAACTTCATCCCTAAAATAACAAAACAAAAAAGAGAGAAAAACTTTGTCCCATTATTTAGTCTCTAAAATGCAAGACAGTTTTAAAAGTGTGACCTTTAAGTCAACCCTCCAAAATCATTAGCCTTCGCATACATGAATAACAAACTCACTGAGAAAGAAATTAGGGAAACACCGTTCAGAATAGCATCAGAAACATGAAATACCTAGGAATCAATGTCACAAAGAAAGTAAAAGGTCTCTACATTTAAAACCACAGTACTGTGAAAAAAGAGATTGAAGAGGTTATCAAAAAATGGAAAGATATCTCTTGCTTTTGAGTAGGAAGAACCAATATAGTGAAAATGGCCATATTTCCAAAATTGTTATACACATTTAATGCAACCCCAATCAAAATTCCAATGGCATATCTCACATAATTAGAGAAAAAAAATCCTAAAAATCATTTGGAACCATAACAGAACTACAGTAGCAAAGACAGTTCTGGGCAAAAAAGGCAAAGCAGGTAGCATCACAATCCCTGACCTGAAATTATACTACAAAGCTACTGTGATTAAAAATTAAAAAAAAAAAAAAAAAAAAACCACCAAAACAGACCTGAGGAACCAGAAGACCTAGAATAGCAAGAGCAATTCTGAGGAACAAAGGCAAGTTAAG